TTATCCCTCTTCAAGACATGTTTCATCTAGATTCCAAGGTCCAGGTCGACCCTTGGGGCCGGACCGCACAAATTCGATTCCTTGCCTTTCTTTTGCAAACCCCACGCAATAAATCATGAACGAATTTTCAAAATAATAGTGATAATAATAATAATAATAATGATAATAATAATAATATGCAATTATGTAGCGTCCAGCAAAGGCACGTATGGTTCATTATAGATCCATTTCCATCAGTAACTTCTGATTGTACTTCCACTTCCTTAGTGGATGCTCATTAGACTAACATCTTTTACTTCTACATATGCAAAACCATGATACATAATTTATGCTATCTTGTTTTAAATATCTTTTTTATGAGCAAAGTTTGGATTAATTAAGAAAAAAAAAAGAGAGTTAATGGGGTTGAATCACATAAAACCAGTATTATGCATTTTTTTTTATACTTCTAATAATAGGATATAAAACATCATATAACTTTTTAATTTTTTTTAAAAAATATTTCCTTACTTATCCTAAGATTGAAATCTCTAACTTAAATTTAGTTTTTACGCATTAAGACCCCTTTGGAGCACACTAGTGTCAATACTACATGCCAAAAGCTCAGGTTTATAACCCCAGTGGTTATATATATTGATAAATAAATGTTTTCTATGTTAAGATTCAAACCTTGGATTAGCACTTCAAAAAATTAATTTCTTTTATTGCATAAGTTAATGTAAGAGTACTCCCTTAAGATTATTTGAGAAAAAATTAATTTTAAAATGCATAAAAATTTATTTAAAAATACCCTGAATGGTACGTAAAAAAAAAATGTTAGTTTTATATTGCTTGAGTTGATTGTGACATTAGTTGGAATAATATTAAGTTTAACATTTAACAAACAAAACTTGATAATTTTTTATGCCCCAACGTGGTTGAATGGGATTTTAGTTTTCCTAGTCATTGGAAAAAAAGGGGAAAGTTAAAACTAAATTACAGGTCTTCGTTCAAAAAAGAAAAAATTATCGTTCCTAACATGATGCATGAATTTCAAAGTTCAAACTTTCAAACCCTCTATAGTTGGTCAGAAGTTCTCCATCCTTACTCTAATCTCTTGCACTCTTGGGTATATAATACATGTGCAACAGCACAAGGCCACGAAAAGTCTGAAAAAACAAGAAAAAATGTTTATCAAAATGTCCAGCATCTTCATCTTCACAAGGCAGCTTCTAATTATATGTGTTTTGTCTTTTATGTTATTATGTTTCTGTAATGGGAGGGTTCTGAATCAGAACTCTCGAATTAGAGCTGTAAATCTTGGAGGTTGGTTGGTCACAGAAGGCTGGATTAAACCTTCTCTCTTTGATGGCATTCCCAACAAAGATTTCTTGGTTTGGACTTTGATTTCATTATATTCTTGGTTTCTCTATTTTGTAATGGAAAACTTCGGTTTCATTTATTTTCCCTTGTTCCCTTGAAATTAGGATGGAACTGGACTTCAGTTGAAATCAGTAACAACAGGGAAGTATCTTTGCGCGGAGTCAGGAGGAGGAACAATCATAGTTGCAAACAGGACTGCTGCTTCTGGTTGGGAAACATTCAAGGTAAGGTGTCTTGTTTGTGTTAAAAGCTGTTGTTCTAAGTTTGATGATCATTTCTGTTGTTTTGGTGTTTGTAGTTGTGGAGGATCAATGAGACGGCTTTTAACTTCAGGGTGTTTGGGAAGCAATTCATGGGACTGGACACCAAGGGGAATGGGATTGACATGGTAGCTGTTTCTGACACACCTGGAACTTCAGAAACATTTGAGATTTTGAGGAATTCTGATGATTCCAGTCTGGTTCGAATCAAAGCACCAAATGGATTCTTCTTACAGGCAAAATCGGAAGTGTTGGTAACAGCTGATTATCAAGGGAGCAGTACATGGGGAGATGATGATCCATCAGTCTTTGTGATGAAAATTTCTGGAACACCGCGGGGGGAATTTCAAGTCACCAATGGCTATGGTATTGAGAAAGCTCCGGAAATCATGAGGGTATGTGTGTAATAGGCCTAACAATCTAATTAGAAAATCTGAATACAAAAAGGTAAATTATGAAGAATTACTTGTTAATGGATATCAGGAACATTGGAAGACATTCATTGTTGAAGATGACTTCAAGTTCATATCAAAAAATGGCCTGAATGCTGTGAGAATACCAGTTGGGTGGTGGATAGCCAGCGATCCGACTCCTCCTCTGCCTTATGTTGGAGGATCCTTACAAGCTTTAGACAATGCCTTCTCATGGGCAGAGTATGTTCGCTAATTTCCCAACTGAAACAGCCTGTATGTTGCTCAACCCATGAACTAAAAACTATGTTGCTTTTGCAGGAAATATGGAGTGAAAATCATAATTGATCTACATGCTGCACCTGGCTCACAAAATGGTTGGGAGCACAGCTCTTCTAGAGATGGCTCTCAGGACTGGGGCCAAACAGATGATAACATACAACAAACGGTTGATGTTATAGATTTCTTGACAGCCAGGTAAAACTAAAATCAACTTTTACATGCAGGTACAAAACCGATATTAATCGATTGGTACTTGGTTTTATCTAATGAAATTAAGGTTTGCAAAGAGCTCGAGCTTATACGCAGTGGAGCTGATCAATGAGCCCCTGGCACCAGGGGCTTCCCTGGAGAACATGACCAAATATTACAAGGCTGGTTATGAGGCTGTCCGGAAACACTCCTCCACAGCCTATGTGGTGATGTCAAACCGGCTTGGACCTATGAAGCCAAGAGAACTGTTCCCTTTGGCCAGTGGCATGAGCAGATCGGTCATTGATGTTCATTATTACAGCCTTTTCGCAAACGTTTTCGATAACATGACTGTCCAACAAAACATTGATTTTATCTACACTAACCGGACGGCGCAGTTGAATTATGTCACTCAATCTAATGGGCCACTTACTTTTGTTGGTAAGTCAAAATTAAAATTATGTTTGTTTCTGATATCGGGTTAAGAACTGTTTAATCGTCTAACAATTTGATTTTTGAGTTTAGGGGAGTGGGTGGCTGAATGGCAAGTTACAGGAGCAAGCAAGGTGGAATATCAAAGATTTGGGAAGGCTCAATTGCAGGTGTACTCTAGAGCAACTTTTGGTTGGGCCTATTGGACTCTTAAGAACGTAAATAACCACTGGAGTCTTGAGTGGATGATCCAGAACGGGTATATCCAGCTTTAAAATGTTATCATCAAGTTTGGCCCTTTGAAAGCTCAATGGGCTTCATCATTTGGAAGCTTAACTACGAGGGTTTGATGACCCATAACAAATAAATTCGAAAATCATTTTAGAATTACAGTGACAAGTCAATTCTTTTTAGATTTATGGTTTAGAAATAAATAATTGTAAGTCTTTTTTTCCTTTTTTCTTTTTAATGTTTACTACCCATAAAAAATAATAAAAAATAATATAATGATAACAATATATTTATGGATGTGAAATTGATTGATTAAAAAAAAAAAAAAAGAATTGCTGCTCGCCTAGCCAAACCCATCTTGCAATTTTTGTGTGCCTCACCTATTATCACACAAATGAAACTCAAGAAGAATCATAGCTTGAGCCGTGAGGGGAATCCATGGAAGAAAGGAAGTGACATTCTAGGCTTTTTTCATATATCAAATGCCCTATAGCTTTCTTTCTTTCTTTTGTCTATGTTCATCTTAGTGGGAGACATCAATTATTGCCCGACATATATTATGTTTTTATTATACCTTCATTTTCCCTATTTAATTTTTTCTCATTTTTTCTCCTAATTTCTTTTATATACAAATAAAGGTGCAATGTAATAGGAGAGATCATTATGTTTAAATCTTTTCTCGTAAATTTTCAAATTTCAATATGATTGAGTGAAGATTTTTCTCATTTTAGAGAGATGTTGTTTTGGGAATTAGGATGGATGGTGGGTGCCCAACTCTTCTTCCTAGTCATTGTGGTGGGAAGGAAGTGATTGCTGATTGGAGGCATTCTAAGTTTCCCGCTTGTGAGTAGACTTTGCTCACAAGCAATCACCTTTGATTGATAAAAAACTATGTTCGTTGGCAGAAATGTCGAGAAAACAACAATCCAGAATGGTTGTTCACATGTGTGTTGGTTCCAAAGTCTCGGATTGGACCACTCAACAGTGGGCAAATTGTTGTATCTGCCACTCATCATTATTCTTTGATATTTTGCAAGTTTCATGATTTGTAATTGTATGAAGCATAGAACGAAGTGTGAAGAAAATTCACCAAGGCACACCAAAAAATTCTAAAATTAGTAAGAAACTGAAATACAGTTTCAATGAAAAATAATTTTTCTCATCAAGCAC